CTGGTCTGTGTGAAAGGTCTAAATCCCGTTTGGAAGGTAAAATCATTCACGTCATGGGAATCTGCAAAGATTGCATCAGGGCTACTGGACTTGTTCTTGACTGTTGAAAGATACCGATCAGTTTGTTGGCAAAAACTGATTGTAATCGAATGTGGGTGCAACCGCAACATCGATCGCGGCCTGCGATAAAAATAAAACGAGTTTGACATCCTCGTTACTAGCAATCGACGCGAGACAAGTCATCGTATGTTTCGCAGAGACTTGTCTCTGCCGCACCAAGTGAGCAATGAAGTAGAAAAACACCCCCGACCGGCTCCTTTGGTGGAGTCTGTGAAGACACTGGAGTCGCGTGCTCCTTTGTCATTCCCTCTCATCAATCTCTGCCTTTTTTTTTCTTTTTTTTTACGATGCTGTCTGCTAGGGCTCCACATAAAAACCTGCCCCAACATGTCCGGCTCCTCGATCTTGTCACTGAACCAGATGACCTTGACCAGCCAACTCGCTCCAACGCATGAAAGATGTTTCGCTCTCGATCTGAGCGACAACCTTACGTTGGCTATCATACGAAGGAAATCAAAGCTGATGAACATGATGATGGACTCGGTTTAGGGACAGAGACACGCACGCAGGCGCCAGACTGTTCGGTGTTGTTACGCTTCGTCCCCGCAAGGTAACTGGCAGACGCACTTCATATGTCAGCCAAATAATTCACTGTGATTCAGTACTTGTCAGTCACCAGACACTGACCCACTTGGCAAGAAAAAAAAAAAAATAATACCTTAAAGATGACAGTCCGAACAAGAACAATGAGGCTATTATTCGAAATGATATCGAAGAACCTTGGAGTGAAGATTCCACTGGGGGGTGAAAAAGGTGGACACTGTTTAGGTCTTGATGTTATTGAAGCAGGTCTGCGGTCTAAAGCAGGGTACAAACAGATTTCTAACATTAACTGGTTTTTAAAATATAAAAGACCCCACATGTGATGAGCTAGAAATGGTCAATTCTCTGTCTGCAAAGGTAGTGCCACCACCCACAAAGATATCTCCATCGCTAATCGCCTTTGTCGGACCAGGACTGACATGTGGGAAAGCAATACGGTACCAAGAGGCATCAAGAATGTCGGAAAAAATACAAAGAGGAATAAAGACTCGTAGTTGAATAAGAAATACAGTAGCTAGGTTTCAAAAACACCATCTGCACTATTCAATTTTTACAATCAACGGCAGAGGTGACTGATAAGATCTAAAGCTCAAGGGGAAAAAAATGGAAGAACAAAAGCTCACAATTGCCATCAGGGTAAGAAAATGAGAAAAGATAAACACGCATGCCATCATTTTTCAGTTAATTTACAAGACATGGCTGACACGTGATCGATGTTGATTGTTGCCCGGAGAGCAGATTTAAGCGCAGTAACAATCTCCACACAGCTTGACGGTTAACTTTGACCTTTAAAAACTCGCATCCGATAAAAGATGTGCAGATGTGTGATATTACTTCAGCTGAGTATTAAAAGTGGATGACAAGAGTTAGCGAGACCCAGAATGATTATGTAAGAAGGAAGAAACCGTGTTCCAGTTTTTGTGACTGAAGATTTTCACTTTTTAACCTTGACAGTCCGCTTGCATCGGGGCCAAGTAATCAACGAGATCCAACTGATTGAGCTGTGGTCAAAAAAAGCGAGCTGTGTATAATGTGTGCCTAAAACAACGGTAAAAAAACACACGTGCCAATTTGTTTAAATTAGAAATTGTCAAAAAGGAAGTTGATGGATGTAGTGAAAGAGGACATGAAGGTAGCTGGTGTTAAAGAAGAGGATGCACAAAACAGGGTTAGATGGAGGCTAGTGATTCGATGTGGCGACCCCTGAAGGGAAAAGCCGAAAGGAAAAGAAGAAGAAGTCAAGATGTTCAAAATGTATGTATAGGCTCTGTGTGGATGTTAATGTGTGTTCAAGTTCCTTATGGGATGAATGGCTACAATCTCATTTGCAAGTTGGCGGATCTTGTTGTTGTCGAAACTCCATCTGTTTTCACCGGGCAGTCAGTCGCTCAGCACGATCCCCTTTTGTGCATTGTCTTTTGGACAAGGCCCGACCTGTTTTTGTTTTCAGGACAGATGTGAAGTCCCACATGGGATTCCCATCCCTCATTCCTCTCATTCCGTTCTTTCGCAGCGGGCCAGAAATTAGTCAGCGGACAATGGCTGCTGAAACGGAAAGCCGATCTCCAAGCAAGCGTTTCATTTTCTAAAAGCTCAAATAGTGGATATAAAAGGCAGTCCAAGTTAATGAACAGTGACATTTTTCAACAGAAGCGAGGAGGCTGCGCTCTATGTCTTTGAAGGTTATATGCACCAATATCAAGCTCCATCCATCCATCCATCCATTTTCTGATCCGCTTTATCCTCACAAGGGTCGCGGAGAGTGCTGGAGCCTATCCCAGCAGGTGGGGGACATCCCGAACTGGTTGCCAGCCAATCACAGGGCACACATAGACAAATAACCACACGCGCTCACAATCACACCTCGGGACAATTTAGAGTGTCCAGTTAACCTACCATGCATGTTTTTGGAATGTGGGAGGAAACCAGAATACCCGGAGAAAACCCACACAGAGAACATGCAAGCTCCACACGGGAAAGCCGGAGCTGGAATCGAACTCTGCACCTCTGCACTGTGAGGCCGTCGCGCTAACCACTGGACCGCCCCAATATCAAACTGACATAAATAAAGATTAAGGCTCATTTTTGTTGCGGGCCAGATTTTAGTTAGTTTCCCTTGGAGGGCCGTTATGACTGAAACAACATGAAGAAGTCAAGAATAACTGTTTAAGTTACTGTCATGAGTGGGTATGGTAACAAGAAATGCTTACAGTATCACTCTTATTTATGACAAAGGACAATTTGAAATTTTGGTAGTGATTTCAGCAAGCATCATGAAAGTTGACATCTTTGATTTGCTTTCGCGGGCCACGTAAAATGAGGTGGCGGGCCAGATCTGGCCCCCGGGCCTTGAGTTTGACACCTGTGGATGAAGGCATTTATTGTACAGATCCTACCAATTTTTGCACATGCTTTCATCCTGGTGAAAAAGTTCGTAATTTACATAATGGATATTGCTTATGTTGATGATTTTTGATGCATTGAAATGATGAGGAGGAGCACCAC